CCCCAGGGGATGGAGGCGAAGGGAAGGACGCGACCGCGCCACCGCATCCGTTTGGTGCCTCGTTTTTGGAGAGGAACAACAACCCTCGGCTTCGGGGAGGCCTCAAAACCCAAAAAAAGGGTTTTTATGGCCGGTAACCCTGGATGAAAGGCGGGGATTCGGTGCTGCCAGCCTGGAATTCTACAATCGGCCCGTTTCGGGATGCCCCGCTATGAAACGGAGCCCCGCGTTTTCCCCGGTGCCCTCCGGCCGCCCAGAGGCTTCCAAAGAAATCTCCCTTCTCCCGTCTGTGCCTCCGGAGCGGGAGGGAAAACTGGCAGAAATTCCTGCCCTGAGCTCCAGCTCCGTGATTCCCGATCCGTTTGTGCTCTGGGCACTTAAACCCGGCCTGGGAATGATTTGGGGATTTCTCTCCACTCTTGGGGGGTCCCTTGGGATGGGCAGGATCCCCGGCGGGGTGGGACTCGGTGCTTACCCCGAGTTTTGATTCCTTTCCCGGTGTTTCTGTGTCCTTCTCCCGCCGGGAAAGCGCTGAGGAGCTTCCCAAACCAGGCAGGGGACACCGGGGACCTGAGCCTACCCTGACCCCTCCTTTTCTCCGTCCCAAGGCAGCAGCAGCACCCAAAAAGAGGGGTTTGCATCCCCACCCCGTGTCCGTCTCTCCAGATCCCGGGAATTGCCCGCGTTTTCCCGTGGAAAAGGGAAAAACACCTTCCCTGCTCTGAAAGAAGCGCTGGGAAATTTGTTCGGCAGAGCCAAACGAAAATTCGCGCTTTTCTCCGCCTTTTCCCAATTCTCCGTTTGGAAAAGGCTCCTCAACTTCCAGAGACACGGCAAAAATGTGCTTTTTGCTGAAAGGCTTTTTTGTTTCTCGGGAGAAAAACAAAATTTGGGAATCGCGGCGTTTTCCTGGAGTTTCTTTCCCGAAACGGCAACAAATGGAAGTTCCAGAGTCTGCCCCTGTGCAGCGGGGTTTGCCCTTATTTCGATTTACTCATTACAAATTTCGAAATACGAGACTGCAAGCCTACAAAGAGAGGTGTAAAAACTGCCCTGAGCTCTCCCATTCCCTAAAACGGAGCAGATTTATTCCTTGAGCTCTCACGAAACCCTTTAAAAACGAGCCGCGTCTCTGCCCCACCCGTGCGGGACAATTCTCTCCGTCCTGTCCTTTCTCAGCATCCCAAAATCTGCACGGGTTAAGAGGTTATTTCCTAGCCCGGAATAAAAAAATGTCACTTGCTCAGAGTCGCTCCCTTAGGAATTTTAAATTGGAGTCGGAATCGCGAACGCGCATCAGACGTAAACACGCTCGGTGGATCAGCCTGGCATTCGTCTGAGCTTATTTTAAAGCCGGCGATTTTATCATTTAATCCGCCAGCAGATCGCTTTAAAGGTGAAAACGAAACGAATAAAACCTTACATTGGAATACGGGACTAACGCCCATTAACTTCTCCTCCGAGACATTTGCAGAGACGCGTTGCTGTAAATGTATGGATGCCATAGGCTGGGCCTGGCTGCTCCTGCCCGCCCGGGAAATATTCCCAAATTCGCTTCCCGGCCTGGAGCGGGGCCAAAATCCCTGCGGATCCACAGAGCGAGCCTTTCTGCACCGCTCCTTGGTGGGATGGGAGGCGATCTCTGCCTGGGGTGGTTTGGGAGGGGACATTTCCCGATGTCCCCTCGCAGCAGGAATTACCCAGCCCGAGAGAGAATTCCCAGCCAGCGGCGGCTCGAGCATCCTCCCCGTAAATACTGGGAACACCCGTGGGGCTGACCCGGCCCCAACGCGGTTCTTTGGCCGTGCCAGAGGCTCCGGGATCACCCAGATCCAGCGATCCGGGGCAATTCCTGCAGAGGGGAGCGCGGAGAGCTCAGCGGCAAAACCCAGGCTCCCTGCGGGACGGGGTCTGGCCAGTTCCAGGCTCAAAGTCCGCTTTTCTGGCGCCCTGCCGCAGCCGACATGGGCGAGATGAGCCTCTAT